CAAATAAATAAATAAATCTAGAATCAAGCTTTACACCTCTCACTTTTCACCATCAGACTTCCACACTCTCTTTTCATCACAATTTTTTAAAGCTGGATAAATTGCACACCTTCACATAACACCATAATTTCCCCACAGGCTGCAGTGCGTCAGCCATTAGCTGCAAAAGCTGTCACACTTCAAGCCTCATTCTCGACTCGGGATGCCAAGACTGCAATAATCTATCCCACAATACTGCTGCTATGATGACAGTGAAAATTTCGATAACTGCTCAATTTCATACTTCATTGTGACAGCTTTTTCTAGCACATACTTTGAAAGCATCTCCAATGCAATATCCCAAAAGAGACCCTGAAATGTTTTTTTTTTAACTTTTGAGAGCGTTTAGGCAAGATGATCACCATACCACTCGCCCCACAAATCTAGCGACATGCAGTGTACTAATGGTCACCTAGGGCAATTGTATCAAACCCTCTTTCTCACCTCTGCCTTGCCTCCTCAACAAATGAGACACCCTGGCATCGCTGGTGATCGCAGAGCTCTTGTGAGCGCACTTGACGATTTGAGCTTCACCCAGTGTGGACCTCTGAGATCGCATGCCAGCAGGTGTGCCCAATCTCGGAGGCCATCACTATGTGTGCCCGGCAGGACGCATGCTCTCTGGCAACTAGCGACGAAATCACGGTGTGGTTGGCTGCATCCGACAGCCGCTGCTACCTTACAAGCCCATCTTGCTTAGGCGAATTCCACACCCAATCAGATCAGCAGCATGGGTGACATCGAGCTACCCCAAGTATGTAGTTCTGTGAATGGGTAGTTGAAAACGCCTTTGGCAGAGTCGCAGCTATCTGCAGTTATTCCCAGCTTTAAAGTGCTGTAATAAACTACAAAGTTCATGGAGAGAGCTCAAGTTCATATGTAAATGACCTTTAGGAATTCATCTACGTGCACTGTGTTTATACAAAATCATCAAAAGCATTTCAGGGTCCTTTCGAGCTTCTAAAACAGAATAATCCCTATATTGTAATGTTCGAGTGTGTTGTTGCTAATTAAATGTTGTTTTCAGTTTACTGACCCCATTTTCATTAGTTCACATGTGCTGATTACTTCTTTCCACTGCAAACTATGATGCACTGTCTAAAAATGTGTGATATTCACAGAGCATCCGTATATAGCACTTGATCTTACATCGGAACAAAAAGAAGGAGGCAGTATGTTGTTTAGTGCAACTTTCAGTAATAATGCTTGAATAATTATTCATTTATAGCTACTAAATATTTATTTATACTTAAGTAGCTTCAGTTATTGCATAAAAAGAATCAAATAATACACTCAATATAGATGCACAGTTTGTTTTTGGTTGTATTGGTTTCCGAACTAAAGAAAAATATTACTCTCAGCATTGATACTGCAATGCGGCACGCTGAACAATCGTTAAACCCGGTAGTGCATCCAGCAAGGTGATCCTCTACGGAAATACGCACTACCATGAAGTTAAATGACTGCTAATTGTTCATTTCGGATGCCTGTACAAGTGTGCTCACTGCATCTCGAGCCACTTAGATATGCCATGCTTGATGTGCCTCCGTATTAGATGTGTTCAATTGTACGCACTGCCGCTGAAATGGTTATGCTACTGTCTGGTTTCTCAAGAGCCACATTCATTATATGTGTGCCCCTGACAACGATTCTTTTTTCATTGTTTTATTCTGCACTGCTATTTTGCGTATTTTACACGTGTACCTTTCATAGTTTATTGTTGTGGTAGCTTTCAACCTTAATTATTTATCATTTCTTATTGGGATACTTAAAGAAACAAATCAGAATCACAGAAAGCTGAGGTAGCTGGTAGGTGCTCTTGTTAACGAGTCATGGCGTGCCAACATGGACACAAGAGAGCGGCATATGTGGCACTTCGACCTCACTCGTTCTATTTTTGCGCGTCCAGTCTCTGTCATAGGCTAATAATAGAACAAATAAGCAACTATATAAAAAATTCTGCAGTAAAGTAGCAAGTGGGCCTGGTCACAACATACTCATCATGATCTGCACCCAAAAAAAAGCACAAAAACTACAAGAAAATACAAGACACAAGCACTGTCTGACAAGTTGCTAGACAGCGCTTGTGTCGTGCACTTTCTTGGCTCTTTTGTGAGCGAATTGTGATGAGAAATGCTGCCAGAGGCAACATAGCTAATTACTTTGCCCACTGCAATATGTTAGCCAGCACAGCCTGCCGCTCATGAGAAATTATCAAGGCTATTGTTGTTGAAAAGTTCTATATTACAAAAAAAGAAAACAAGTTTCTGTGCATTAGCATCATCATTTCATTTCATTTGTAGAGAGAGAGAGAGAAAGAGAGAGAGAGAGCTCTATTTGAAAGCAGACAATTTAGCCGGCATGTGTATATCACTGACTTGCTACTCTGCATGGGGAAGGGGATTGGGGACTAAAAGACAAGAAGAAAGAAAAAAAATACTTGAAAATTAAAATGGAAAGAAAAAAAGTAAATATACAGACATTTTTTTGTCTCTTGGGTGGGAACGTGTACTGACAGAATGACTTGTTAGGAGTTTTCAGTATTCATTTTTTACAACATTGCAATCTTACTATTTTGGCTACTTTTGTTGCCAATCAAATACCAATGTTTACATTTCATAGCAGGCCCCATTTCAGTTTACACTACGGGACCTCTTTCTGTATATCCTTCTTGTACATTGTGTTGTGAAATAATAAAACTTGATTTCATTTGATTAGGCAGTCAGCAGTGTGCAAATAAATGAACATTTTAAATACTAACATATGTGTCACTTGATGCACATTCCCTTGCAACATTCAATATACAAAGCAGCCAAATGCTACATTTTTCAAAACATCCAGGCAATCATATCCCCCACTGGTGCCTTGATAAGGACAGAAATATGGATTTAGTATTGAATAGCTGCAACTGTTTCACAACTCCAGAACATCCTTAACAAATGCATGAAACACTTGTCCTGCAGTAATTTTAGGTCATTCACTAAGAATGGTTTGCTTTTAAGGTTAGTGTGTGTATATGATTTTATTACACTTTATTATTTGATTATCTTTGCTCCATTTACTTAATGAAATGGAATGTAAAGTGCTGCGATGCCACACCTTTCTTCTTCAAGAAACGCAACAGTGTATGTATACCCGGCAACGTGTTTTGCTAATATCCTGTCTATTTTGTCCCAGAAAGCAGTTGCTTATCAATCACATGCCCCTCAAATATTTGGATGTGTAATTCAGAACAGGCAATGCACACATGTAATAGTACTCACCAATCGAAACAAAAATATTTAGGGCCACATAACGCACATACTTGAACTTCCACCATTTTCACTTGGGTCATGCGTGCGTAGTTTTGAATAGAACGTGTAGATCAGAGTCTACATCATATCAAGCAAGTAGATTTAGTGCTGCACAACGTAGTTAGTTTGAGCAATCACGTAAACGAGTCGTTCTTAAAAACTTGATGTTGCATTTGAATCCGTGAGTACTGTATGTGTCATTGTATATCATTTTCCTCTTAGAGTGAATTAACTATGCAAAAGCTTTGTATTTGACACCTCTTAAGAATCGTGAAAACATCATTCAAATCGGGTTTCTGCAATTTTTATAGTACTAGATATAAAAAAATTTCATTGTTCGCTTACCCTTAGCGGTAGTGCTATTTATAAGATGCTTTATAACAAGGCTAAACAGTACCAAGATATGGGTATCGCAATATTATTTTAGAGGTACTTTTGATTACTATTGAAATAGTATTTTAGAGATACTTTTGAGTATCTGTATGTCTTTATAAGATACATTTGAAAAATGTGTTTATATCTTGATAGTGAAATACTTTAACGATGTATCGATTGTATTGTGAAACTGTGTAGGTAGGACAAGGGTATCTCGTTACATATTTCTTTATTGAAATGAGCTGAGGCGTGTTTCCAAAGGGTGAATGAAGGTTCAATTTTTTTTCTATAAATAGAGGCAAAGGTGTGCCACCGGTTGGCGGCATAGGAAGCGTGGTGATGGCTTCCCCTCAAGCACAGATTAGCCGATGTGCTAAAGGCAGTGTTGTCGTGGCCTCGATCAGCGAAAGTCGCCATCTCTTAGGGCCAGAGCTTCAGACCTAATTTTTCAGGGTGGCAAGCCATTAGATGACCCGAGAAGAGACATCATCTTAGTGGAGGGCTGTCTGGTTACAAATGTGGCGTTTATTCACAAAGATGAATTTTTGATCATCTGCAGCAATAAAGAGACGGCAGAGGTGAACCTCACTATTACTGCGCACAGGCACCGCCTCCGTCTTCGGTTCCTTCTTTTTGACTACGCATCCAGGCCTTCTATATGTACACGCTCCATTTAATTTGCGCATTAAATTTATACAACGCGGTTCCTCTCTGTAAATAAGAGGCCATCGATTTTCGTTGCATGCGTAACACTTTGGCTCATCTCGGTGTACAAATGCCATGCTTGTGCACGATAGGAGTTATGAAGAAAAAAGGAGGAAGCTTTCTCTGAAGAACGAAGTATTCTGCGGGTGTATATAAAGACACCCAGGTGCTACCTTGCAAAGAAACTTTGTGCTACGCTTGTGCTACCGACTGCACGCAATGGAGAACACAATGCAGGAGCTGTCACTAAATGACTGAGCACCACATATGTATCCTCACGTCGCATGAATGCATCCACAGTGGAAGGTTCGCCAAGCTAGTGACAGACATGTTCATTCAAACGCTTTATGAATCAGACAGCCAGATTTCTTGCAATTAGACTTGTTAAAAACGTCACACAATATGAAAAGTTAGTTGCTTTTTATTATGTCAAATTGCCATAAATGTTTCGCGCTACTGCGCCACGCTAACCGTAGGCACACAGTCAATACCACACGACGAAATGGTGTGTTCTTAATAGCACTCCATAAAGCGGTCAACAGGATCTCGAAGCCGTGCAGCCTCATTTTGCACGCGCCTGCAGCTTACCTTGAACAGATGAAACTGTGGCGTGAGCTGGACACCGGCATCTATTGTCAAGGTGAAAACAAGGCGGAATTGATAAGCGATCGGAAAAAAAAGATAAGAGCTGGTCTCTCTACCACTGATGATTGCAAGCGTTGGTGCGAGTAAAGATTGGAACACGAAGCCCATGTATACCCAGCAGCAATTAAGAGGAAAGAATATGAAAGCGGAGAAGCAGGCAAGCATAACCACGCGATGTCGCATGCGGATGGTGTGGTACACGTCAACGTGGCGTGGCAGAAGGTATTTATTGTGACAATTGGTGATTGCATGATCAAGTACCTGCTATTACCCTGCTGGATCCACCGACAATTCGAAAGCGGTAGTAGTGATCGTAACATCAGTTCTATGGTATTCCATCAGCTGCATGCACTTTCTAAAGAAACTAAGAAAGCACAAGCCGCGGCAAATTTTCCCAAGCCCTGCAGCAAAAGTCCTGCACGAAACCCAGCTGTGGCCGAACGTCCTCTTGACGCATAGCTTCCGCTAAGCATGCAAAACTAACGGTAGCCTGCTACGTGACAAAATATGCAAATGACGTGACGACACTTACGATGCCCGCGACACTTGCTGGAGCAAGTTAACGACGCGAAGTGTGTTAGACATTGGGTGGAAGAAATGCGGGTTCCGCTACAGTGAAGTCTACTTGAGCATAAAAGCACCGCAAAAGCTGGTTTTCCTTGGAAGCGTCCGTACAAACCCTCAGGAAGCTTCTGAGATCGCGCCGCACTGCACGGAGGCGTCTGCAGCAAATCGACAGCCGCTACGTAATAAGAGCGAGATTAACATAACAGGAGGTGACGTTAAACTGGGCCTCTGAGATCTAAGACGTGACACGAACGCTTACCTCTGCAATATTACAATAATACCACACCCAAGCACTGCAAAAACCAGGATAAATCTTTTTACCAGCCCAAACGATCAGCTGATCATATATCAACGATCTGACTGCTTCGCATCATACCGGCATCGTGTGTACACGTGGTAACGAGCTTCATTTTTGTTCATTGTTACAACTGACACCGTACAGTAGAGCGGGCAAGACACCCAGGAGCACTGAAAACGCATTCTTCCTTTGTCCTACAGGAAGAGCCTTGAGCAATGTACTAACCACATCGTTATAAGTTACCTGTACTACTACTACCGTCAGTCAAGGAGGAAAATCACGTCAGTTTTGTTGATGGCTGGATGACTGGCTTGGCTCGACCGCTTGCCGGCTTTATATCTGATCCAAACAGGCACTGTTGTTTAATAAACGAATGGATGGATATGGCTGTACCCTTTTAGATTTAGGGTGCCTGAATGGTTTCCCTCGCCCGCCGCTCCTTGCAGGGTGGGGACATTGTTTGACGGGGTGCTCGCCGCCGCGACCGGTTTTTCCTGACGGCCGCCGCCATTGCAGATCTCACTTCGCATAGCGACGGGAGCAAAGAAGGAGCTGTGGCCGCTCTGTCATATACTTTTTTAGGGAAATGACTGGGTGCTGCGTGCCCATGTGCACGAACAACTCCAGAAATGGTTGGAAACTCTACCATTTTCCGACAGAGCCCAAAAGAAGGCTGCTATGGATGGTGAAGATTAAGCGAGACAAGTGGCAGCCTACGAAGTCCTCGTGTGTATGCAGTGTGAGTATCCCGACATGTGTTCTTTTCTCGTCGAGAACTTTGAAACTTGTTTTTTTAAATGTGTATACGTGTCTGTGGGTCACTTTGTCGGTGCTGTAAACGCTTCACGTCTAAGTTGCAGTTTTTCTCTCTTTTTTTGCGATCTCTAAAAGTGCAGCTATGGAAACGTGTGGCGCAGCCGCAGTATTTGAAGTTTGTACCAGTTTTTAGTCACTATATGTATAAACAAAATAGGCTGCTTGTTATTAAATTGCGTATTTACAGAAAAGTGTTTTTCATTCGTTTATTGCAAATCACGAAATTCAATAAAAGTTGTGTGGTATACTGTGTCTTTCTAGTAATTCTGTCTAGGCTAAGCTAAGCTAAAATTCATGGTTCATAACGGACTTACAGGCACATTTTGAAGCAAGCCATTTCGAGCAGCACCGAGCTGACCAGTGGATAAAACTGAAGCCGAACGCTGTGCCAACGGTGTTCCCTTTCAGGGGTAAGTTACTGTTTCACTGTGCGTCAAAGATTCTGTATGAACCTAACAGGTGGCAACAGTACAAGGCTAAAATGATTTAGTTTCAAAAATTAGGATGATCCGTGGAATTCCTCGTTTGAGGATATTAAGAAAGTCGGGGTACGTGCCTGCGACCTGAGAAAAGGCATATGTCTGCAACCTATAATACTGCTAAAATCCAGTACAGGCCTGTGATTAGAGCTGGCTACCTTGTAATACTTGCAGCTTGTGACTGTCCTTTTTTGCACTGCAGGCTTGCCTCCACAAAGGAAGGCGCCAAAGGACAGGGCAGGACCTGCTGTGTTGCCTGATGCATGCCAAGAAACACGCGGTGACAACTCTACGGCCATTAATTGTACGCCACTCACAAGTGCACAGGCGAATTTAAATTCACGCACAGACAGTCTTGGCGCACAGCAACCGCAAAGCTGCAATTCTCAGACGCCTGATTCAGTACCGCACATTATGGAAAGGGAAGAAGTTGTGATCTCGGCCGATGCACCTGACGGGGCACGTGAAAACAAGCAGTTAAATAAGCAGCTCTCTGATATGGGCAGAAAATACACTCAGCTACATCAAGTCCATCGGAAAGCCACCTCAACCATTCAAGCACTAAAAAAACAGGTGAAAAAATTGGAAACCAAATGGAATTATTCGGACAGCGTTTGAAATTCCTCAATGATGACCAGCTGCAGGCTCTTGGGCGCCAGAGTAATAAGGGAAGCACTTGGTCTGCAGAAACAATCAAGCAGGCGCTTCAGATTAAGTTTTCCTGTGGAAAAACTGGTTACCAGACACTAAGAAATCTGGGCTACCCCTTGCCATCCGGAAAAACCCTTGCACGTCGCCTTCAGGGCCTCAAGTTTCTTCCCGGAATTTTGACGGAAGTCATCGATGTTCTCAAAATCAAAGCAGAGAACATGCAAGACATTGAAAAAGACTGTGCTTTGTTCTTGGATGAAATGGAGATTGCTCGCGGGTACGAGCTCGATCGCGCTGAGGATGTGGTGTTGGGGGGGCAAACTATGCCAGAAAATCCAGACGAACCTGCACATCACGCACTAGTGTTCATGGTAGGAGGCCTGAATACGAGATGGAAGCAAGTGATTGCCTACCACTTCACCGGAAGTCATGTAGAGGGTAGTATCCTCAAGGACTACGTCATGAAGATAGTGCAGCTCTGCGCGGAAATCTCTTTAAGAATCCGTGTCGTCACTTGCGACATGGGGGCTTCTAATCGGGCTATGTGGCGCGAGCTCGGATTCTCCAGCCACAGGAATTCCATTACTGTATGTTCAGTGCCTCACCCCTGTCTGGAAGACAAAGAATTGTTTTTCACAGCAGATGCTGCACACGTGCTGAAGAATGTCAAGTCACAGTTGCTTTCATCGGAAGTATTCTTTCTGAGTGATGCAACAGTATGCCAGCACAATCTGCCATCAAAAGAAGTGAACGTGGACCATGTGCGCAGTGTAATTAAGTATGATGCTGAACGAGAGCTGAAAGTCGCCCCGAGGCTCTCAGAGTTACACATTTCGCGAGGCCATTTCACAAAAATGAAAGTGGGAGTTGCTGTCCGCTTCTTCAGGGAAGCTCCTGCAGCGATTCGGTACCTAATTAAAGAGGACGCGATAGAGCCGGAGGCAGAGACAACAGCTTGGTTTCTAGAATTAGTATTCAACTGGTACACGCTAATGTCTTCCCGCCACCCATCAGTTGCTCTCAGCCTTCGAGACATGCGGAGGTACCACGAATCAATTGAGCTACTGAACTCGGCCCTCGAAGTTTTTCAAGGAATGAAGATGGGAAGCAAGGCACAGTGGAAGCCTTCGCAAGCAGGTTTACTAATAACAACAAAAGTCGTTCTTCGTCTCCAAGACATTCTCTTGCGCAGTGAAGGATACGAATTCTTCCTCACGAGCAGAATCTTGCAAGACTGCCTCGAAAATTTGTTTTCGGTGGTGCGCATCAGGAAGCCTGTTCCTAACGCATATGACTTAAAGTGTGCCCTGAAGCTTGTGTGCGTGAGTCAGTTCCTTCATGCACCCGGAACGTCAAGCTACGAAGTCGACGATGCTAAGTACCTCGCCGACATGCTTGCAAAAGGCAAACAAGAGCACGGGGAGGTGGAAGCTGATGTCATTGATGACTCGGAAATTTTGTTCATTGAAGAACTTCAAGAAAACGAATGCAACATCCTTTTCTACATCGGCGGCTTCCTTTTAAAAGGTATGCTGAGTGTTGTAGCGGGATGCGGGCATTGTAATTCTGCCTTGTTAGGCTCAACTGAAAGCGAGCACGCAACTCTGACTATTCTGAAGGAGTACAGGAGTGAAGGTGGCAACCTCACATATCCCAGCAAGGATGTTTTGCTGACACTCAAGTCGTGTGAAGAGCATTTCAGGGGCATCATAAGTTGGAGTGAGGGCTTGCTGCGCTTAAGGTCCCCGTTGAAGGCCGTGACCGATTATTTGAACGAGATGGTGCGCCCTTGCGTAAAGACTTGCTCCGAGCACAGTGACGCCGTAGCAAAACTCCTTATTGCGAATTATGCAAGACTGAGGCTTCGCGTGCATTTGCGCCACGTTAGTTCAAACGGCGTCAATGAACACGGAAGCAAGACGTGCGCTGGGGTAAGCCTTCCGTGACCAGCCGAACTGGACCAGTCACTTATAAATTTTATTATTTTTTCTTTCAGAACACTTATTGTTTGATTAAATATTTTGAGTTCATTGTGAACTGGCTAACCTCCCTGTCCTTTCTTCATCCTCCTCCTTAAGTTCATAGACATTTTTCTTATTTGTTATACAATATCACATTCTTAGATAAAAACAGCGTTGTGATCTTTAAGCTGACTAAGGTTGTGATCTTTGGAGAATGTTTATGGTAAGTTAATATTATTGCGGTCGAAGCAATACCGACACAGCGTCACAGAGGCAGAATACGAGAGTGATACTTCTCGGATAATTAGATTGCTCGCTTACATATATCTATGGAAAGTAGAAAAACTGAACAGGTATAGGGCATCAAAATCGTTATTACTGCATTTCATCTTGTATTTTCCAATAACTTAGTAAGATTTTTTTTCTCAGTGGTCACATAAAAACGAGAGATTCAATTGATGTTTACGCTGTTTCACTATCTCAACCAGCTATAACAGAAAAATAGCTGTGTAACAAATCTGAATCTCATTCCCGCAAGATTATTCAGAGCTGCGAGGGCACGCAAGGCGGGGGAAAAGCAGGATGAAGTAAGTTCAACGCGTACAATGCGAGCACTACTGAGTGGCTGGCACGCTGCACAGCCACTGAGGAGTGCGGTGAGTTTAGGTAACAGGAAAAAGGCGTGCGCTTCATGAATTAATGTAGATTTATCCTGCAAACAGTCTCCAATGACAGACGCACATATTCAGACTGCTTTTTTATAGCGCGAAATACCATTTCTCGCACTAAACTCTTCTCAAACTCTCCTCATACGCGCGCGCAGGCAGTGTGTTTCGTTGGGGTGAGATATGTAATGGCGGACGCTCTAGCAGACGACGCGGTTGTCCCCACCCTGTACGGAGCGGCGGGCGAGGGAAACCATTCAGGCACCCTATTTAGATTGGCCCACTAGCGCTACCAAGCCGTAATACTTAGTGAACCAAAAACTAGATTTTTTTTTTCTTTAATAAGTGAGTTTGAGCATTCGTACTTTGCAGTGAAGAGTTTAATTTTTACTCGTGCCTTGACTTTAGCCACCAATCAGATAACCTCCTTCTAGTTAAGTCTACCCACTTAAAGTCTATTTTGCCCTCCCGGTCCCTAAACCCTAGTGCTTTGAAAAACTCTGCGCCATCATCCTGAACTATAGGGTGAAGCCCTTTACAGAACATTATCAAGTGTTCGGCAGTTTCTTCTTCCTGTCCACACGCGCTACATACCAACGTTACTAGAATAGGTTCAGTTTACAAACTTCGCTGCGTTGCGCGGAACCGCCACCGATACTGCGCGCACTGGCGCTGCAGTCGCACCCGGCTCCACGGATTTCGCCTCGCCAGCCGCGCTGCGCAGCCAGTTTGAACAGTCGCTGGTCTAACTTCCGGGTGATTTTGTGTGGTGCGCGTTTTCAGACCGATGTGTTTGCTTGAACGTATCGATTGCCTTGTTCGATGCAGTGCTGTGGGTGACTGTGGGTGCTCCTAAGCCGACCACATCATGCCGACGTGTTGCGTACCTGGCTGTACAAGCGGGTACCGGAACGACACTAGCCCGTCGGTCCGGCATTTCTTCTCCGCTCCCAGTGACGAGCGACTTCGCGCAGCTTGGAACAGGGTGATACCCCGCGCAGACAAAGACCTCACAACGAAGTCTAGGGTATGCTTCATCCACTTTCACGATCAGGACATTCGCAAAACGTAAGTGCACGTGATCAACGGAGAAACTGTTGAAATCCCGAGGGGTAAGTGGAGTCTCGTCGAGGGTGCCCTTCCTAAAGTCTTCCCGAACTTGCCCTCGTACTTGTCAAAGCCAGCGGAGAAGAGGCGGAAACGGCAGTGAGAAAGCAATGGAAACGCTGACCAAGGAACAAGCTTCTTGCAGCACAATTCCTGCCGATGTCGTGGTCGACGATATGCCCGAGCCATCCGTGCCGTCGTTTGCTGAAATGGAATGCGCTGAGCTACCACCATCGTGGCGAAGAATCACTGTGGAAAACGGCAGCGGTAAATTTGTGGCTTTTTTCACACTGACCTCCGCAAATAAGGCGCCGCAAATCGAAAAGTGCGTCGTTGTAAGCAGTGGAGAGGCAACTGCAAGTGCGAGAGGCCGCGAGGCGAAGGCTTTTCTGAGCGTCAGCATTAAGACCATGCTAGATCTTAGTGACCTGATAAACAATGTGCACAGCCTTCATGCATGCTCCGGATACGACGTGCAAAGCAGCACTGGTTTTTCACTCAGATGCCAGGCACTAGCTAAGCAGTCAACGTGTTCATTCTGCCGAACTGAAAAAAACAGGCTTTTGAAAAAGAATTTTCAGAAGCAAAAAAGGCAGGTGTGCAAACAGAAAAAGGTGAAAAACCTTCAAAAGAAAGCCATCAGGGCAGCTGCTGCGAGAGTGTCTTTCATGAAGAATATGGCAGAACTACAAGAGAAATTGACAAGCGAAAGATCCTCATCAATCAATGAGCATCTAATGTCACTTCCGCCTCTTCAACAACTAGCATTCAAGATGTCTCTGAAACAAATGGAAGCAAAGGGACCACAGGGTGTGTGATACACCAGAATTTTGGTGGTGAACTGCCTTCTTCTCCACATTTCAAGCCCCAAAGCCTACAATTTGATACGCAAAATGAATTTGCTTCCCTTACCAACTACAAGTCGACTTAACCAGGTGCTTTTAGGTGTACCCTGTGAGTATGGTTACAATCAAGTGGTCCTGAAAGCGCTCGAGGCATTCTTTTCAAGCATGCGTGATGTTGAGAAGTGTGGTACGCTCGTGCTGGATGAAATCAAGCTGAGAGAGGGAGTGGACTTCAACAAGAGGATGCAAACCAGCACGACTATGGTCAACCAACTACACACGATGCTGCTCTGTACTACCTGGCAGGATACGTAGTGAAGAAAGCAGAAAAGTTTTCGAGCTGCGGGGACTGTAAGGCTACTCTTCTTGCTACTGATGACGTACCATCT